AATTATATCAAAATAAAGGAAAAAGATACCGTATGACATAGAATAGGTTAGATCTCATTTAACGATTCAGCAATTAAGAAAATATAACTTCAAATATCAAAAAAAGATTCAGGTTTTACCTTATTTCACGTATGCAACATTTTTAAACTTCTCCGTTTATAGCTACATTTGGCTTTTGTTTTTTACGGCTTTTTCAGAAGATGATTAGATGCTTGAGAACTGTCCTTCTATTAACGAGTAGTGGTAAAATAGACACGAGAAAGAGGAGAAATTTAAAGTGACACTATTTACCCCCTGTCACTATTTGCCTCCCCCCTTCCCTTATATTATTTAAATATAGCAAATAAATATTTTAATGCTAAGCGAATACTCTGCTAGTCATTGAATTAATAATTTGCGGTTGCGCTGTAGACTGGCCGTCGCATAGAACACTGGATGAATTAATTTCTGCTTGTGTGTATCCGCTGCATAGAAATCGCGAATGAGCCGATGATTATTTGCGCGAGTCGTCGCGCATTCACGCATTCATCGGGTATATATTACCTTTTTATACGCTGCTTTTTCATTATACTTCCAGCATGTAATTCATATATTTTTCAAACCGCGTGAGCGCATGTAATTTTCTGAATGTCCAAAGCGTAATGCCCAACCGTCAGGACCGTTTTAAACAGAGAAAACACTTCCGCTCTGCGTCCGGTGTCGTGCTCAATGCGCTCTGATGAGTTGCATAGTTGCGACGTCTCTACGTAACGCTCTACGTGACGAAACTTTCCAATATTTTACGTCCGACTACGTTGCAGCGTAATTAGACACATAGCAAAATATCCACAATGTATAAAATTAAACTGTATGTTCCTTAAGTATATAAATGTAAATACAAATTCCTAAAATTATGACAATTATGTCATAAATTGTAATTTATTTGTATTTATATTACATACAATTACGAAGTTACACAATTTTTCTTGCAAATCAGATAAATTGTATCCACAATTTTGGACTATACAACATTTAAATTTGCAGCAATTTATATGATAAAACAAAATTATTTCTTTTAATCCTAGAAACATTGGTTGCACATAAATTTCATCAAACTTTTAATTAACTCTTAATTGATATTAAGTTATTCGCATAAATGGAAGCTTGAATATTTTTTGCAATGCTTAGACATTTTAAGTGATGCGTAATTCCTTTAACATAAGACATTTATATTCTGTCGTTATGGCTGTATTCATAGTATCCAAACTTCACGCATCGTAATCTCTGCAGAAGTGATAAAACTGCATGGTAAAAATCGCGTTCCAATAGTACGGCATCCAGATTATAGCTTCTTACGATCGTCGAACAGCACGGAGTGGAGAAGAAAACATTATCCCAATCCACTGCGCGGATTGAAGTCAAGAAGGAACTCTTGCATCCATAAAGAACGCGATGTGCTGTAAGAGTTTCAAATTGCGAAATCTCGACGAGATGAGACTCCTCCCGAGAATAACTCCGATTCCGCGGCAGCGTGGTCCTCATAAGAATCTCATACACCGTAAAAACTTGTTCGGAAATTTTTCTACGTACTCTGTCTCTCCCCGAAGTATCTACTTCGATTTTCATCCCGTTGTGAAATATCGACAGCGGCACCCGTCCCGGACACACAGGTCTCGCCCCTTTTTTTTTACGAGCGACACTATCTTAGCGTTCCGGCTCGCCTTCATTTGATAGCGGGAGTAATCGTGGCCACTATGATATATGTATACTCGCTCACTAAAAGGTTGCGACACTTTCTTTTTTATAGGTTTCAAAACGCACTAATATTTTGCAAATGCGGACCACGATTGGTGTTATACTGCCTCTAGACTAAAGATAGTACATCGTGGTTTGCATTTGCAAAATATTAGTTATCGAAAAAGCACATATTACGTATATTAAATATAAATTAGAAACCTATAAAAAAAAAGTGTCGCAACCTTTTAGTGAGCGAGTGTACATAATCATGAAAAAAAAGACTCTGATCGAGGAAGGTATTCCTCCGATCGTCCTTTCAGTTTCATTCGGCATGATCTCGTCGTGTCGAGGAAAATTTGGGACGCAAATAAACTGCAAAAAGTATCATTCGCCTGAATGCTGCTGAATTAAAAATAATTTAAATGTAACACGCTCTTTATATTTATCAATTTTGTAACATGTATTTATAACTCCATAATACGAATAGAGATTATGGCATAAATCTAATTAAACCAACATTTTCACTATTTCTCGAAATATTTAATGTTATTACAATAATAACGAAAACCTTTAAATTGAGATTATAAGTATATCTACTCATAAAATTTTAATAAACATCCTAAAAACAATATAAATTTTATACTCACATGGATAAGAGCCATAATATAATTTTTTGCAAATAAAATGATAAAATTAAATGCTTTTTTGCGGCCAAACATCTCAATTATAAGTTTGAGAAAGCATAAAGATCACACATGAAAGAAAAACGAAATGAAAAGTTTGTAAGGAAAATTTTTCATCACATCAGTAAAATAAGGATTGACTCTCGAGTTGGAATTGGAAAGCATTAAACAGTTGTAACTTTTATATCTCAAAGCAGCAACAGCGACATCAATTTCTACAAACATTCAACAAACAAGAAAATTCACTTTCTTAAAAAGCGAGATTTTTCTCGTTAATATATTATCAATGTTTATCAAACGCTCCATGTTAGATAAATTGCAGATAAAACTATTTAAGTCACTAAAATACCAACATTTAAGCTTTGATTCTTTTTCTATTTTATACTTATAAAAACAAGAATTAATAAAAATAAAAGATAAATAAATATAAGAAACTTTAACTCATAAAAAAAGAGACCATTTTCAATTATATGTAAATTTCGTCATATAATTATTTTATACAAAAGTTTAATTAAAATTCTTGTAAAGATTAAAATTAATATATTGTTTTATTTTTATTGATTTTTGCCGAAGGCTGAAAAGTTTTAATAACAATGCACCTTACTTTAAACATGTATTGCACATATTTAATACAATTATTAAATTTTTGAATTGAGTATTGTGTTATGCCGTGCGCGCCAATGTAAAGCGCACACATGCAATTAATGAAATAATAAAATAATATAGCTGCAAAACAAATCCATTCAAATGAAAATTGTATCAAACACTTTAAATGTTTTTGTTTGCTAAAATTTAATATTTGTACTTATTTATTTTTTTTTTAATGAATAAACGATTTTTTATTGTGCAATACAAATATATTTCACGTATTTCGCATATTTTTATTATCATATTTAACGTAAAAACTTTATACGAAGGGAAAATCTTACGTAAGCAAATTGTTAGAATATCTTGGACAACGTTTTATGGAAATGCAATCATAATTCCACTGCTATGTAGGTCAGTACGATGACATTTCGGTCAATAATTACTCCTGCCGGAAATGAAACGTCGGCCATCTTGCACCTGCCGCAAATCGAACGGACTGGTAAATCGAGGAAATTAACCATAGCAAAGAGAAATTTGATTCCTCTGGGAATTGACGATTCCTCGAGAATACAAATCAATCGACTTGGAAATGACGGTACCAATTGAAATGGCAAAAACTAAAATAGGGGTCGGGGATTGCAAGAGAAATATTGAAAAGCTTAGAAAGATAACGGCACGTACAAAAATAGAATTTGAGAACTTCTTTATTAAAATAAACATATGTTTAAAAATACATAACAATATGCACACGTGTGCTCAAAAATCCATAATAATAAAATAAACATTATTAATGTATCATAATAATAATTATAATATGCATTGTAATGAGTGAGTGCATTATTGCGACCCAGTTTCATTTCTTTCGAGGTAGCTTCTACTCTACAATTCATCGCGCTCATGGCAATAATTATTTGGTAATAATTAGTTTTCCTAAACGGATTCCTGGGCCATACGATACTCAAAAACACTTCCGCGTTCTGCAAAAATATTTTGACTTCTGTTAGATTTTGAATCTTTGTACTTTGGTGTAGAGCTTGTTGTTAGATGCTGCGAATTGTAAGTTCTCAAAGATTTCTCAGCTCCCTTGTCTTCGTAAGCGGCACCGTAACCACCACCACCTGGAGTTTCCATAATGAACTTATCCTGTGAAGAAACCGTGGAAACTTAATGAGAAATTGTTATCTAAACTTTCGTAATAACAATAATTGCATGTTATTAAGATGATGAAAATATCATATTGGTGAACACCAAGAGCTGAAAAGTAATTTATGTTCTAGAAGATTATGTATTTTTCTTTTAATCCTACTTTACTCGCGCGATTTTTTAACCTAATTATTCGTATGAAGTGCTTTAACATTATATCTCAATTTTTATTATTCTCTATCTCTATCTCTCTATCTCTCTATCTCTCTATCTCTCTATCTCTCTATCTCTCTATCTCTCTATCTCTCTGATAATTTACATTTAAAAGTAAAAGTTAATAATATTTTATACAATCTTAAAGATAAAAATATGTGCAAAGATTTTTCTTTAATTGTGAAACAATTTGTACGGCATTTAAACGATAAAAATAGTTTTATTCTGTATATTTATTAAATTTTTTAGGTTGAGATGTAGCTTACATCTCATGTAGTATTATGTAGAGTTAATGTAATGTTGTTTTGTTCTTTAAACCAGCACACACAGTAATATGCATAATGTTATAATTTTATTTGATAATTCTATTCTTATAATTTTACGTTTCCGATAAAATACGTAGATAAAATATATAAAATGTATAAATAATGATTGTTGCTCTTTGTCTTTCCGTAATTCGTATCGTCGTTATGTATATTAAATTATTACAATAAATAAAAATATACTTTGTTTGTTATTTAATATGCTAAAGAATATCAAGGTTTATATTATATTTCAGACCACCGCTGACTGTTGAAATTATTATCATTAAATTACGGGTTTACGATTATTAAATACAGTGAGAAGAGATAGCTACAAGGATCGCTTACGCTACAGGTTACTACTACGGGTTTTTGCACGTGCATGCGGCTGTGCACACATCTCAACTTTTGACCAAACCACTGCAAACTATACCCATCGAAAACTTCGAAGCAATAACGTGCCGCAAAATAACGTCATCAAAATTTTTGGAAAATTGTGTTCGTTCTTGCCATAAAATCAGATCGCATATTAATCGAGATTTATAGCACAAATCACATGGTGCGGTAACAAAACACGTCAATCATATTTGCATATATAGAGAGTTTTCAAAAATTATGTGTATAATGAAATATCAAAGTTAAATATATATGTATATATACATTTATTATTTTACTATTTACTGCTTAATTATAAAACAAACTCATCGTTTAAAAGATAGAATAATTATATAAATCTTTATATTAACAGTGTTTAATAACATAAATTAATTGTTACGTTACAATTTTAATTCAAATGACACACAATTTTTTGACAAGTAGATAATATTATACTAGTATAATATTAGAGAGAGAGAGAGAGTATATTATTATGATAATTTTAATATAAAACAAATATTTTAATATATCTACATACAAATTGTTAAATACATACATATTTTAAATATTTTTTATTTATCACGGAATATCTGTTCATTCCATTTTCATGAAGTGTATAAACCATCACACGGATATCTCTCGATTAACACGGATATCTGATAAAGACACTAATTAAAAAGTCATCGTCATTTATCGTTTAACATACAATAAAAGATAAAATTTTTCTCGCTGATTTTTAATTTGTTGCAAAAAAGATTAAATGAAGAGCCCGACGAGTGAATTCTAACATGAAACATACAGTATACACTAACAAAAAGGCCAAAGATGTTGGCAAATACCGGTGCATACATCTGTATAGTAATACCGGTGTACACCTGTGTAGTAATCGCTAGCCTCTTGACGGCGCTAACTGCTACTGAAATATTCGAAAACGTGGATGCACATCCGCCGTTGGCTCTCGTGCTCCGATAAATGCGAAAAGAAATTTTGCAAAGCCCAGTGTTGGTTGATATGCATAGTCGCGTAGTTTCTATCGCTCTTTTCTTTTTTATTACTTTTTTTTCTTTTTCATATCTTTACTTAACCCGTCTCACATTTTTTTATCTCGCTTGGGAAAACAAACATTATGAATACCAGAAAGTATCTTCTTCAAATGTATAAAACCTCACTTCTTTTAATAAAGCAAAAGAAAAGTTTATAAAGATTTAGCTTAAAAAATCATTTGTGGTATTTTGCTAGCATTTATAGGCTACAATTTATGATAGATACGTAAAAAACACGAGTAAAATGTCAAATATTATATTATAATATAATTGTGTTGTTAAATATTTCTAAAATATTAAAAAATTATTATATATTGTTGACGTATCTATTTTTGAATAAATTTTTTATAATTTTAATAATATTGAGTAAATATAATATTGAACAAATTTTCAAAACTCTATAAATCTCTCAGATTACATCGGATTCATACAATTAAACAGTTTTAAATAAATATTCTTTATTTTTGCGTCTGTTTTGCGATCTGGAATGACATGTAGAAATTTTTTCGTTTTCAAAAATTTTTATAAGTCTTTTTAAAGAAGACTACTTAAAACGCGATTATAATCTAGTAATACTCATACAATTGCGAAAGAAATTACTTGACCTCTTGCTGCGCGGTTATGAACACTGTGGTGTGGCACACAACAGATCTTATTTTACCGGGATACAGCTTTACGAGCTGACATAAACCATAAAAAAATTTCTTCGCCACTCCTCTATCTATCTTTTAGATTTTATTGCGCGCCTTTAAATTTTATTACCCTCTCCAAAAAAGATAAATATGAATCAATTCATCATTTGTTAATTCATAAAAAAAAATTATACAAAAATAAAGCATCGCTTTATTATGTAAAGTTTCTACAGTTCGTAATTAATCAAGGTAAAAGATTTGATTTACTATCTCTTTTTTATTGAAATATAAAATTTATCCCCTCCAATATGTATTATAATTAACATTTTTCAGACTTTAGAGTATATAAAATTGACAGACATATTGTATTTATGGTAAAATAATAAATTGTTACAATTTATTATAATACCTTCGAGCATATAGCTTTTTTTTAATAAAAATCTTACACGATATATTAACTATATTTTTGCAAAAGATGTCATTTAAAATTGCTTACCCCTGTATAAACTGGAACGGCAGTCTTCGGGCCTAAATTGATCCGTCTGCCATCAGCCCGCACCAAAATATTTAAGCCACATGCTCCATCCTCGCCATCATTTTGTCCAGGTGGGTGATACACTCTCCGCTCGGTTAATACTGATAAGGTCATCGGAGCTCTGCGAACAAATATTTTAAAAAGTTTAAAATCGCACATTTTTATGCATATCATGGCTATTTGTATACATTTTTCTTCTTATACTTAAAAATTATATTATGAAGATATTGTAATAAGAAATAATTGTCGGTAAGAAATACTTTTGTTTATAAAGCCAATAGTTATTTTCTCTAAATATAATTTTTATCTTTACAGAAAAAAAATTTATGTACAAATAGGCCAATAATACGCATAGAAATTTACGATTTAACAGACGTTTAAGCACCTAAATATCATTTCACGCACAGCACCATCGCCACCAATATACGCTCCATTACCACCACTTCCGGATCGAATGGAGAAGCGGTTAAGTATAATTGGATAGCGAAGCTCGAGTATTTCTGGATCTGTGATTCTCGTGTTGGTCATATGAGTGTGAACGGCACTTCTGCCGTGCCATGTTGGTCCCTGATGAACACAAATAGGTTTGCTGAAGAAATATCTACTATAGATATATAAAGAATTAAAATATAATAGCAGATGTCATATCTTTTTTTTATCTTACGTTAACTTTTGTAATATAGAAAGAAAATAATAATAATCTTTGTCTTTTAATTTTATAATATTTAAAATTTTTAAATGTTATAAAATTAGAAGACTTCTTTGTCAATTAATTATGTTTTATATAACTCGTTATTTTCTTAATCAATTATTTAAATTATTTATTAGTTAACTTATTTTAAAACTCAAATATATCATCTGAGGCTTATAATCTCTTTCTTACTGCTCCACTACCACCGGCAACTGTCTCGTAGTAACCCCATTCCTCAGTGCCGAGGGTTACGTTGTTCATACAACCCTGCGAGGCTGCGCAAATTTCAAAAGCTGCAAAGATTACGTCGACAATACGCTGAGATGTCAAGACGTTGCCGCCCACTACCGCTGCATCCTCTGAAGGATCGAGCAACGATCCCTCGGGGATAATTATTTTCACAGGCTTCAAACAACCCTACGGAGAAACGGAATTAAATCACACAATCCAAATTTTATTGTTAGATTTTCTTAAAAAGATCCAAGAGAACGTTGATTTGATTACTTGATTTAGTGGTATGTCACGTCCGACCATACACCTCAAACAATAAATTACCGCCGACATAGTTATGGCACGCGGCGCGTTGCAGTTGCCCCACATTTCATATCCCGTTCCACTGCGAATTTAGATATTGCCGTGAAACATCTTGTAAATTACTACAATTTATATGGGACGTTATATGAAATTACTACAGCACAGAATGTTTCATGAAGCAATTGTAGAGAAAGTAGAAAGATGCTATACCTTTTAAGAATTATTATTTATGTATTTATATATATATATATATATATATATATTATTTATATATAAATGTTTATATATAAATGTATTAATATTATTTATATATAAATGTTACAATTAATACTGTGTGAGAAGTGTATGGAAAAAAGGAATAAAATTGAAGTGATCAATCTTTGATGTATTTAGTATTAGATAGCAAAATTATGATTAACATAAATAAATACCGTCAATATCAATTAAGTCGAATATCAATTAAAAGTCACCTAAAATCGAAAACTGCTTCGCCCTTGTTTATGTCGAGCTCCACATGTAACTTGATGGGACTGCCGTTATCGAGATAATCAACGGCTTCGATACCGGTGTCCTTTCCTCTTCGCATTTTAATTTTCATACCTATCGACTTCAACATTTCTCGAACGGCAACTTCGGCATTGCGTTGAATATAATCCATATACGCTTGCACTACTTCGAGACTGTATATATCAATTAGCTCGTTTACTAGTTGAAAACCCTTAAAGAAAAATAAAACTTATTTTACGCATATTCAACTTATGTAAGTCGACTAATTTGGAATAAATAATTAAACGTTACTTTTTGATTAGCTGCAATCTGAGCTTTGAGGTCACTGATGTTGTTCGAGAGATTCCTGGTTCCCAAACTTCCCGGTATTTTGCCCGGCGCCATCAAAGCATCCGTTAGTTCCTTCTCTCGGAATATTCCCTTCTGTACTAGGAAAAAACTTTTAAAGACAGCACCTTCCTATAAAAGAATGCAATATTTATATGTATCATATTATATTGTATCCAGCAAACACAAATTGTAACCGCAATGTTATAGCAATATTGTAACATTTCTGCAATACAGCTCTGAAATGTTACAATATTGCTGCAACATTGCATTTATAATCTGTGTTTGATATAGGTACAAATCTCTCCCAAAATCTATTTAGAAACCGTATTCTCGTACCTGACTCAAGCTCGTTGAATGCGGTGGCATGGAGCCCGGCGTGATTCCACCAATATCAGCATGATGACCTCGACTGGCCACGAAGAATACCGGTGTGGGAACATCTCTATGATACATAAAAATTCGAGAAGTAAAATGTAATATTATAAAATAAAAGAGTAACAATTCTTTTCTTTTGTCACAGCATTGATCGTGTCTTATATAGCATTAGTGTAACGTTTCCCAAAATTCTTCTTCTTAAATAGGGAATACAGAGAATATGTACGAACTTGTAAAATACTGGAGTGATAACCGTCAAATCTGGGAGATGGGAACCGCCAGCTAACGGATGATTAGCGAGGATGACGTCTCCCGGCGTGAATTTTCCATTGAATGCTTTCATCTGGTATTGCACAGTTTCTTGCATGGCACCCAGGTGCACCGGGATATGAGGTGCGTTTGAAACAAGACCACCGTCGGGGCCAAAAATCGCGCACGAGAAGTCCAATCGCTCTTTAATGTTGGTGGAAATCGAAGTCCTTTGAAGTATTCTGTCCAAAATGAAAAAACACAAATATTAGGTAATTTTTAGAAACATTAAAAAAAAACAATTTTTATTTATATTTAATTTATATTTATATTTAATTAATTTATATTTAAAGCGTAAAAATTACTTTGATGTACATACCGTCCCATTTGTTCAGCAATACTCATGAAACGATGCGAAAAAATACTAAGTTGAATACTATCGAGTTCAGTGGTGACTTTCGTTCGGCGACCTTGTCCAATCGTAATTTTTACGTCACCGCGGCAAGTGATTTCTGCAGTACAATTTGGCTCCACTAAAAGTGTGCTTAAACTATCCATGATAATGGCAGGACCACATAAAATATTTCCAGGAGCTAACAAATTTAACTGATAGACGCCTGTTTCCTGATAGCCACCTTCGAAGTACACCATAGTGGTCTGGAAAATTCATATTTTCAAAATTTCTAAATCCTTTTTTGACAATAAGATTCAATATTAGATTTAAAAAAATTAAAAATTTGATTTGTAAGGAAGAAAATATAAAAAAAAAATAATTCATTTAATTTTTATTACTAATTTTTATTTATATTTATTTAAGACATTATTTGCATTTTTTATCTAACCTTTTCAGCTTCTGGTAAAGTTTGTGAAGGAGGTAATATGGGATCCTCAGGAATTTCAGTTGTCCCAGTTCCTCGAACTCTCACATCATCAACTAAGATTTTACGATCTGGTATTGTAAAACCAAATTCTGTCTTATACCTAAATATAATTAAGAAAAAGTTTGTAAATAAGTAATTAAAGAAAAGATTTCTTCAGAGTAAACGCTTATTACCTCTCTAGAAAAGTAGCGAGAAAATCCCCGTGTCTGGTGGCGACGTTCCCTGAATTCTGCTTTGCAGGGGTGCACATTAAAGCGCAATCGGTGCCCTCGTAACGTAAGTGTAGAAACGATTCCGTCTTTATTCGAGAATCAGCAAATCCTTGTGCGCGAAGTCCACTTCTGACTTTGGCTTCCATCGCGTCCAAACGATCGTCCAAACGGTCGAAGCTATCTGTAGATGCGAAAAGAATATCAATGTGAAAGAAGATAATCAAAGAGAATTCCGTTCATAGGCGTCCGTCCGTTCATGGGGCACTTGCTTTCTCATTTCTACTTCTTATTACTTCTTTTAAAAGTAAATATGTTTATATAATAAATAAAAATGCCCCTTTTGCCCCCCCCTGGAATCAGACGAGTACAAAAAAATTTAGAATTTGCTCTCTCATTTTTACTTCCCATTAAAAAAAATAAATATGTTTGTCAAATGTAAGAGAGTTAAAGTACAACACAGATACACAACGTTCGGACATTTGCTCCTCGCGGTAGTTTGTACTAAAAATTTGGATCATGCCCCCTTCCAGGTAAAATCCTGCGGACACCCTTGATTCCATTATATATGTACCGTGATTGTAAGTTTCGACGCTTGGCTCTTGTGCTTCCTCAACAACGTCTGCCAATGCCATTCCATAAGCCGACAAGATACCGGCGTACTTTTGAACAAAAACCGTGCTTATGCCCAAGGATCGAGCTATTGCACAGGCATGCTGTCCTCCAGCACCGCCGAAACAAGCCAGAACGTGACGCGAAGTATCGTAACCCTTTGCCTATCTCAGAAAGAAAACTGAATATAGTTTAAGAACAATCACGGTGCGTTGCTACATGAATAAAAAATTAGCTCGATTTAACTGTACTTGAGTCAGAGCACGAATCGGTCGGCACATGGTCTCATTCGCGACCCTGACAAATCCCATTGCCACTTCATCAATCGACATAGCTTCGTCTTTTTTGAGAAATTCATTGATCTACGACATATACAGGCATTTTATCAGATCGTAGTAGTACAATAACATTTTTTCCCGAGTTTGGAAAAGTTGATTCTTTCACAAAGAGATTTAGTATGCAGATATTCTTTGTAAAGACACTTTTCTGTAATGTAAAGGAAATCACCTCGTAGGTAAGCGCTGTGAACAAACTCAACGTACGGGATACATCGAGCGGCTCGTTTTCCTTAGGCCCAAAAATTTTGGGAAAGTATTCGGGCAGCAGACGGCCCAGTGCGAGATTGGCGTCCGTTACAGTTAGCGGGCCGCCCTTTTTGTAACACGCAGGTCCAGGATGGGCCCCCGCGCTTTCAGGCCCGACCTCGAAGAGACCCGACCTGAAGAAAAGCATAGATCCACCTCCGGCCGCAACTGTATTGACGTCCAACTTTAACCCAATTTTTCTTTATTTCAGCAAAATACTCTCTCCACAGGTATAGACACAATTTATTGTAATATTTTTAAGAAAGACTAAGATGCCAATATATTTTAAATAGTATATCTATATAATAATATTTATCATAAAAAGGAGTGATACCTGCGGAGCTTTTATAGCGATGCCTGCCGTAGTGCTTTCGTAAACGTGCTCGTAACTACCTCCGTATCGACTTACATCAGTGGATGTGCCGCCCATATCGAATCCGATCACTGGTAGATCAGTTTCCTTTCCATAAGTCGTCATTGCGTATCCAACGACGCCACCAGCTGGTCCAGAAAGTATAGCACGTGACCCATTAAAACTTTAATGTGGCAGCAGAACATATTATTTAATATTGCTCTATATAGTAGGAGATATCTTTCAAAATAACTTTCAAAAATAAATTTTAATAATTACGATTTCATAGGTGTCAATCCGCCATCGCTCTGCATAAACAATACGTTCACGCCTTTCAAGTTGTCTTTGAATCCCGAAGAGAAAGTCTAGAAAATTATTTATTATAGTTTAGAAATAGAAGTCTATACCTTAAATGTATATTTTAATTATTATTTTGAAGAAGAAGAAAAAGATTTATGTAAGTAATTATAAAATGGCCCAAATTTTATATATGTAATTATAAAGAAATTGCCTGTAGGTAATTTTTAATGTGTGGCGTCAAGTAAGCATCTGCACACGCCGTAAAGCCTCTAGGAACCATTCTCGTCATCGGCATTACTTCGTGCGAAAGAGATATCTGCGAGAAACCTGCTTCTCGCGCTAATTCGCCAATTCTAATCTCGTGAGCCCCATAACTGTATCACAAAGGTGCAATAGTAAAATTCAAATAAGTGTATAATTAAGATTTGATCAATTTTTTTATAAGCATCATCGTAACAGATGCATTTACTAACGTATAACTGTGCGCCAGAACGACAGCGAGACTGTCTATTCCCAGATTACGAAGTATTTTCAAATCTTCTTTTAGTTGTGCTTCATCGAGTTCTTGAATAACAAACAGATCCTCGCCGGTGGAACCTTTTATCCTTCGCCACGATTGATTCTCTATACGACAACTTTTCGGCAGAGCAGGAATCACCCTACATTTTACTCCTATTACATGTTTGTACAAAACCTGTGGCATCACTATCTCCTGTAAATATTTATCGGAAGATGATTAAACTGGCAGAAATAATGCTCTTATATATAAGCACAGCTCTGATAAAGTGATACACATCGCAATCTGCAACATGATTTCGAATATGAGTATCTGTTGAGTTCAATTATACGAACCAAATCGAAAATATTAGGCCGAGACTGATTACCGATGTACAGAAGATCCTTGAAACCCTCATTTATTAATAGCGCCATTTTCGCACCCTTTCTTTCCAATAACGCATTAGTTGCGACTGTCGTTCCCATTCTGATCCATTCTATATTAGAAGTATTGATTGCGCCATCCATTTTAACGCCAGTTTCCTAAAATTAATAAACAATTGTCAAGTATTTAAAATATCTTCTAAATATTTTATAAGATCTTGTATATTTGATTATTCTGTAAAATATAATTTCTAAATTAAATCTGAGTAAATCTGAAAAAATATATTTTGTCAAACGTCTGCAACCAATTTCCTTAGCAGAAAGACAATTAAATGTGCAAAGTTAATTAAATCGATATTTTGCAAAACAATAGTAAAATGGAAAACTTGCTGCTCATAAAAAAAGGGCAAATCTTGCTCCAAAAATCGTACAAAATTTGTTAGCATAATTTAACAGTAAACAAGTGACAAAAAAGGGAGGAATACGGATGGTTATTTAAAAGTATTTAAAGGTATTTAAAGGTATTTAAAAAGATATATCAAATAATCGAGCTATTTAACACAAACAAGGTTTTAAACTTGCTCGATATTTACTACCAATTTGTTATCGTATTGCGTCGTACATATTCTTGCTCTGTTTTTGTCATTTATTTACTATTAGATTATGCCAGTAAATCTTATACGATTTTTGACGCTAATTTTATCTCATTTTATCATGAGCAGCAAGTTTTCGAAGCAAAATAATAGTTTAACGAGAACAAAAATAAAACCAATATTAATATAAAATTGTGATTGAATTTGCTACCAATTTGTAAGAGTATTGTTATTATTTTACTCACAAGGGACCCTCACAAAGTGCACAATAGCTACAGCATAGAGAAAATTATCCAAGCATCTTGATTCCCTTTGGATCACTTTCCACCCAAAAAGTAGACCGGAAATAAAATCAATAAAAATAATAAAATAAACAAAAAACAATAAAATAAATTTTTTTTATTTTTCGATGCAGTAGGGAAAACTTAATTTAAAAAATTTATTTTATTTTATTATTTATATTTATTTTATTTCCGGTCTAATTTTTGGGTCGAAAGTGATTCAAAAGGAGTCAAGATGCTTAGATAATTTATCAAAAAATTAAAAATAAAATAAAATTTATTTTATTATTTATATTTATTTTATTTCCGGTCTAGTTTTTGGGTGGAAAGTGATCCAAAGGGAGTCAAGATGCTTGGATAATTTTCTCTATGCTGTAGCTATTGTGCACTTTGTGAGGAGCCCTTGTCAGAGAATCGCATCTTATGTAAAATTTACAATTTAATCTCAATCATGTATACTTAACGTTCTGTGTTACGTATATACATTGTTTATATTCTGTATCTTTGCTCATAGATTTTTGCATACAATATTTATTTAATTTTCAAGTTTATTAATTTGCTCTTGTAAATTACGTATACTTGCATACTACAATCCATTGTCGTAGACAAAAAATTATAACTTTCTTTTGTTAATAAATTTCAAAATGTACGAAAATTGTAAAATTATTTTTTCATAAATTTTAATTGGTTGTAAGGTACCTCTGCTAGTATTCTACGGATGCCTTCTGTCGGCGCGTCATTATAATTACTAGGATCAACGGACAGTAATTTCATAACTCGGATCTTGCCTCCAGGACATCTAGCGTATATATCAGTGAACGTGCCGCCACGATCTATAGAAAATTGGAATTTATCTTCCATTGTTGATTGTGGAAACCTAGCAAAATAAGAAATTTTACATGTTACACTCTAAAATGCAATTCACACTGATTTAAAACATTTCTTTTAATTATTGTAATTAAAACACAATACACATAATAACATATTGTATATTTAATGCAAATCGTTCGTTTTTATTAAAATGGAATGTATGTATATCAATAAAGGATCAAAACGAGTAACAAAAGGATGATATAAAATAATTATGATTTATTTACATTAATGTTAAAAAATTAACGAGACATTTTGACTTTATTTACAATTAATCTTTTTCTAAAACACAATAAACACTTAGAATAATATAACTTTCATTAAAATGTATAATAAAAACCATTTTGACATATGATTACATTATAACAAAATAATAAATAATAATAAATAATTTGTAACTTATTATAATATATAGATAACTCTAAATTTTTCAGTTTTGCCAAATTTTAAATACATAATTCACATTTTATTCAACAATAATGCCGCTCGCGCGGTTCGCAAACAAGTCTGCATATACTGATAAATTAAGTACAACTCTTCTGATAAGAAACTAGTTATTAACATCGCTCGCATAAAAGAAGATTTAATTATCTGATAAAACATTTTGAAAGTTTTTTTCACTTTTAACATATCATAGCGTTAAAATATTACCTAATCAAATTTTAAAATCGCGAACAGAAAAGATACGAAACATTTCAAAAAAGTAATTTAAAATTAAATGATTTGAAATTTATAACTCTTCACACATGTGTGTAAATAAGAGCACTCGATATGTCAGTAGCTTATACATATTCTATCTTAACGACAGTGTCGTAATCGTTATATTGTCGGCGCACAGGTATAATGATAAGATAAGAAAACTGCCGACAACAATATAACGATAACGAACGTCGTTTAGAGTTACAAAGTCTATTCGCTTCATGCAGCTGTATTTCTATATTCAACACTATATTTGTCAGAAAAATTTCACTGTCGATAATAATTGCTGCTATGGTAATTATTTGTTATAAGATAATGACGTCATGTAACAGTATACCGTAACGATGTATGAAATGTGTTTAAACGTCTTCTTGACACTATATTGATACGTTTTCAGCAACACGAATTTAACGGCACCAGTCTCAATCTACGATATTAGAGCAACTGCTGCTTTATAACTGAACAGGCGGAGAGTATGCCGTAGGGAGTAGATTTAAGAGAACTCTGAGAGTGGATATGCCCGCGTATTTTAAATGAAACCCGTCTATTGGCGCCTCTATGTGCACAAAGTGTGCACATAGAACTAAGCAGTCATGAATATTTCTGGCGGGAAAGACATCCACGGTCTTCAACTTCGTTCAGTGTTACGTACATTATTTCCATTGCGTTCTATGGCTTTTATGGCGTAGAAATGCATTAAAATAATAATTAAAAATTAGAGTAATTTAAGCTAAAAGAAGTAAACAAAAATGTAAAGAAAAGCGTATTTATATCTCTTGTTTATATTTCTTACAATGGAAAAGTTTAGTTATCTAATAAAACATTTCAAAAATATTTAAATGTATTACATATAATCTAAATGGCACAATAAGAGCCATAATAAAATTGTTTTATTTATAGCCATAACTAATTCGTGTAGTAATTCCATTCAAAGTGTTCCTAAAATATTTAGCCAAATTTTGATAAAATATCTATACTTAATTATAATAATGTTTTGTAACAATTTTAATACCGATAATAGTCACACAAAATTAAATGCATTTCCTACTATATTATAACTTTATATAACTATCAAATATAATTATAAATTTTTTAAGCTCAATACATTTTATTCCTCTAAAATAATTAATTATTGAAAATTGTTTAACAATAATGTCGACAGAAACATAGATGTACATTAGATCTGTGATAAAATAGCTAATGACAAAAAAGTAATTCTTTTCATTATTATTATTATTAAATTACTATGAGATATAAACGTATAAAATATAAGATTTAAGATACAAACGTAATATATATATATATATATATATATATATATATATATTTTTTTTTTTTTTTAATAAAAAAGGTGCTTTCTTATATTATAAAATAAACGTACCAGATTTCTTTTGTTTTTATAATGCGCTATTTCTTATTGGAATTGATTTGGAGGATATTGTTAATTTAAAAAGAAAAAATTGTAAAATTGTTGCGACAATTATCCTTATTATGATAAAACTTTTTATTTATATAACAATAGTACATTTTCAAAAATAGACGTCAACAATTCTGCGAAATGTCATCTCTGAGTGTGTACACATATATCTTCACAGAGATCGAAAAATATTGTCATTTGTTATTAACAGTACAAGAATGACGCGTAAAAAATAAATTTTACTTAAAGAAAAACATGTATGTTATACTAGTTATACATAGTAAAAATTATAAAACTACGCACCAACATTCTATGATCCTACAATCAATATACATGTACTATTTTTCGGATATTGTAATCCTGTACGGAAATTTAAACGTATAAGAACGTAATTTCATTGTAATTTGCAAGCAAACACTTTGAATTCTTAATGCAATGTAATATTAATTAAGTATAATTTCAAATTATCCAAATATTTTAAAAATTTAAGATAACAAAACTAAAATTTAATATCCACGAGTTAACTTATAATATACACAACTTATATCAACAAAGTATAACAATTATATCTTATGTAAACATAATAATTATATCAATATTACAATTACATAAACAAATTTTTATCTACAGGAAGAAAGTAAGATATCGATCATTGCGTTTGTGCAGATTTTCGATGTTTCAATTTAAAAAGCTTATCTTTAATTACTGACAGCGCATTACATATAAATCTTAAGGAGCAAATAATTGCTTTGGAAAAGCTGGAAAACTTATAATGAAATATGCAAATAATTAACGGTACAATATGGATGAAATGTTATTTTTATTATTTTTATAGATACTATTTTTTTACTTTTATATTTGTTAAGATTGTATTATATTATTTTTTATACTCATTAAGATTTTTGCATTACAATTATTTACTAAAATCGTTATAAATTTATAATAAATTGATATTAAAAATTTGCAAATACAAGGAAATATGCGCTTCATTTGTTCTTTAATTCTGAATTTAAATAAAACAAAACAATTAGGAAATTTAATGAAAAAGTATAACTATACAAAAAAAATTTAATTTAAAAAAAAATATTTTCTCTCTCTCCCTCTCTCTCTCTCTCTCTCTCCTATACTTTTAACAATTGTGTAAATTATCGTCAGCTATTACGCTATTTTGCTATTTACACTGGAATATTCGTCACATTATCATAATTCTGATATACAAATAATCCGTAAATTGTAAAATATCAGTCGTGATGATTATCCTACTGGAAAAAAAATCTCATGTCATTTTTTCTAACAATACGTGCTTTAATTCTCACACGTTTTGCGAAAATAGATGCGCATGATAGTTTATTATTGGTCCACAAAATGTGATCACTGAGTATGGTTTAATCAATTAACACTGGAAACATAATATCGTAAAAGAACGTTTTAGTCTAATAATAAGTCCAAACTTCTCTCTCTCTCTCTCTCTCTCTCTCTCTCTCTCTCTCTCTCTCTGTCTCTTTCTCCTCGTCTTATTAAAAAAAATGTCTCCACAGGGCAGAATTATAATCGGATTTTTTCCTGGACGATATTATTGTAGTGTTCATCAGTCATCCTTACGTAGGTATCATTATTGAGGAAATAAATTGGATCTTTAACCTGCAAAAATTATTTTTATAGCTATCGCTTCTACGTATTTTAATTAAAAACAAATAAAACTTGCCTTTTTAATATCAAAAGCTTCTTGCTGGAGCTCCTTCTTTTTCAGTTTGAACGTTCCTGTGCACAAATAAAATAAATTATGTTATTACAAAAACAGGAAAGACCCGACTTAAAAAAGTAAACTTAGGATCGTTACCAGTCATAGACAGTTCTGATAGAATACGAATAAAACGAGGCATGGCGTAATCCGGCAAAACTTTCTTTAACTTTCCTACCAATTCCTTCAAGTCCATGGAATTTTCTGGGTCATATATAGCCACCATTCCTGCTTTACCCTCGTTCCCGGGGATCTAAACATATAATTACGCATGATTTTCATCAATAATATTTTATTTATTTGTGAGTTTATCGATATGAATTGATACTCTTTTACTGTCCATATCTTATTCATGTGAAATCGATTATTTAATGAGTAAATTGCAAATAATGACTTATTTATTATTCACCTCGACACCAAATACAGTTGCATCTTTAAGACTTATCACGTTACTTATAACGGCCTCTACTTCCGAGGTAGAAACATTTTCGCCTCGCCACCTAATATTGTAATTTCAAGACATAATGTAATTAGACTCAATTCTTATAAATTTACTGATTTTAATCTAGAAATATATAATTATAATAATTTAATAATTTACAACTACAAAGTCTGATTATTATATTAATTATGCATATACATATACCTAAATGTATCACCAGTTCTGTCCTTAAAATAAAAGTATCCGAGGTCATCCATAACTAAAATATCACCTGTTCGGAAAATTCAAATAAATCACAACATATGTATATAATTATTCTTGATAAGAAATTAATAGACCGTGCTATGTGTTGTGTTTTATCACTGACCAGAATTGAAAACGCGATCGCCCTTCTTAAAGACATCATGAATAATCTTTTGTTCTGAAGCCTTTTTGTCCGCGTAGCCGCTAAAGTCGTTTATTGCTTTCTTTGGATTAATTTTACCCACAAAAACGCCAGCCTCACCTAAACAAATAATATAAAAATACTCTAATAATATGTGTACTGTTTAATAATTTTTTGATTAGAATATTACTTATAAATTTATATATTACTTATGAATTTATATATTTTATTAGGACTTTAGCCAACAAAATTGTATGCCATAATAATATCTAATATAAGACAAGTCATTCAGAAAAAGCACAATAAAAAAATCTTCTTTTTACTTTAATTATTGTACTGATAGCAAACAAAATTAAATATGTAATTGTATTGACGCGGAAGAAAAAAAATCTTCTATAATAATATAATAAAATCTTTATTAAACTGATGATACATACCAGGTTTACAAGGTATGCAAAATCCATCTGGTCCTCTCAATAATTCCCCTGTTTCTTCGTCAATTTTCAACAGTGCAACCGGATACAAGAAACTAGCATATCTTGGTATAAAACCAATAGCACCAACTTTATTGTCAATGTTAACTGTAAATCATACAAATACAATGACAATTGTAATCATTTCACTTAACAATTAGGAAATGTTTAGTGAATTATTGTTAATTATTATGTTAATGGTTATTTGCTTATTAGATGAAAGTTAAACATGTCAGCAATTTCCAAAAAAATAAACTTATTATTTAGGTAAAAAAAAATTTATTATTTGTACCCAAATTTAAGACATAGTTTCAACAATAAAATTTTGAGCTTATCTGAAAAGTCAAGCAGAATTACCGAGATTTGAATTTCCTTCAGTGGATCCATAAAATTCGCCTATTTGCTTCACGCCAAATCTCTTAAGAAAAGGTTCCCAAATTTGCGGCCTCAGGCCATTTCCGAATACTAGACGCACTTTATGTTTTCTATCATATTCACTTGGTGGAACTGTAAGAAGAAACCGGCAGATCTCTCCAATATACTGCCCTATCTAAAATAAAAATATAATTTTTATTACTGAAGCAATTAAAAATTTAATAATTAAAAAATTAATTAATAATAAGACAAAAATGTAAAAAAATTGTAAAAATTAACCAATTTTACATTCGCATAATAATCAACATATATTTAAAGTATATAAATATAAAATATTGCAAATTCACTACTAAAAACGTTATTGCATTTAATGGTTTTGTTCATAGTCCATATACAGTTAGAGACATCGAAATGGATGTAACGTGAAGAAGTAGATTATTTTTATGCAGAAATCACTTCCTCACATAAAATGAGAATATCGATATGCGTACGCGTGAAACCTTATAGAAAATTTATGGGAGGGGTAAATGTACTGAAAACGCCGAAAATGGCTTATTTTTATATTGATTTGATATTTGATATTTCTTGAAATAACTACGTTATTAATGCTCTGAGCACAAAAATGTGTAGGACTTTTTTTGTTTGTTATGAAATTCTCTACAAGATACAGGTAATTAAAATTGTGTGCATGCAATATTTACATTGCAAAATTGCACAAACTGGAGAAAAACAGGGTTATTTGTTGAATAGCTATAATTGATATTAAAAATTAACTGTCGTTGATGAAAATTCAGGATTGGATAGTCTAAAGTATACTTAATTAAGTGTGCAAAATCAGCGCCCCGTCCGTTCATTAGTTATTGCACAATTTATTTGTTAATGAAGAATTTACCCTTACCTTTTCAATATTACCAATGCTAAACGAAAGTTTTCTTATAGGTTCCAAATTTTTTACACATACTTGAATGTTAGAAGTATTGTAAGAATCGGTGAAATGCATTTTTTTTTATTTTAAACAACTTTTAAAATTTTTTGAAAATTTTGAACTTATAAACAAATAGATTCTCTTCGCGGTTTTAAAATTTTGATAATTCCGTCGCATCTATTGTATAAAAAAAGTGCTTCAAAGCCCGCGTAATTTGATGCTAAGAAAGTTAATGTATGTTGCATAGATCCTAAGCTATTGAACTTCAAAGTTGAGAAGTGTTTATTGCAAAACTATCA